AAAAATAATATTAGAGACCATTATTTAAATAACACACATAATCTGCATTTAAGTTTTCCTAAAACATGTAATATCAATGAAAACTAAATCGTTTAGTTGATACATGCATATTGTCTCATATGGAGAATAGCTACATGTATTGGCATGTTCCGACCAGTTTGTTGAATAGTATGTTGCTTCGAAAATATATAATGAATGGCCAGAGATTTAAAAATAAGAATTAGTACGAGGAAACATATATTATCTGATATGCATGAGACTTAAAATGTAATAGCAAAAATATAGTTTCTAGACTCTAGCTTTCTTCTTATTATCTTCATTGTCGATTAATTATTGTTCAATTTGTTTTGCATGCACATGATCTTGAATCTCAACATGAAGAAGATCTCACACACATGTGGCAAATATGGTTAATTTGTGTGTGTGTGTTAATCTCATGCATTCAGTACGTGCAAAGTGCAAACACAAGGAATCACGTATTACACATCGATCAGCTTCAACTTGGAATATCAAATTTGCTACCAAAGATTTTTTATCACTCGACCAAAAAATATTGTATATATATACATATAAATACAGAACTCACATTAAAAAATATTAAAACCATAATTGATCATTTTTCATTTTTATTAAATAGTTAACATTTGATATCAGATTGCATAATTACACCAATGACCAAACACTTGTGTATAATGCACTTATAACAACATCAACTCGATAGCTACCGGTCTACCATTCAATTTTTCTAACCATATAATTAAAATTTATAAGTGTTTCATTAAATTCGAGGGGGTAATTTCGTAAGCAATTTGTCCGTACAACTCCAACAATTCGTTTTTGATCTCTGAGAATCTCGATGAGATCTTTTTTTTTTTGTTGCTAAACAAAACTCGATATATGAGATCTATTAAACCGAATAAAAATAGTTTTTTTTTGGTTATAATATTAAAAGGAATAATAATAGTTCGTACCAATTTATATGTTTCCTATTTACTGTAAAATTCAATGGGTCAGATTATATATATTTTTGGATTTATAATCGAGTAGGCTATTGATAAAGAGCAGAAAAATCAAGTTAACAGAGTACTCGGTATTAATTGTAAATATATGTAATATCAAGAAATAATCTGATCATAAGACATAATCATAGTTTCAACTTTCAACTCTCTTTTTTTTACGTATAGTATATGTTTCACAATTAATGTTAGAGCAAAGACTTAATTTGTTTGTGTATACTATACAAAATAGAAATTTCTTAAAGTAGTAATAAACACTTAAATTCAATATGGAAACAAATCTATAAGTTGTAAAAATAGGAAATGTTGTCCTTGTCATTTTTTCGCATTTTAATTTCTAGAGTTTTCTTCTGTTATATAAATATTATTTTGAATCAATTTTGTTTTAATCTTTCTTTTGTGGGGTTTTTTTCTCCACACTCCATGATTGCTCTCTTCTCTAAAATTAATATAATAGTAGAAAGTGGTGGATGTATATATATTTTGTTAAATAAGGAAAGGATTCCTAGTACTTGTTTGTGGTTTATTTGTTACCTTTTCCAAAATTTATTCAAATAAAGGCACCTCACATGTGTGACAAAGGATTGGTCAATTTTTCTCAATATAATTAGGGAAAAACCATTAAAAATATTATTCAAAGATGCAAGCACTCTATTTTTAATTCAAAATATGGTATTCTTACACTAAAATGTCTTATTGATATAATTCGACTAGACTTTTTAACAAGAAATTTCACAAATCACTAAACTAGATTTGATGCCTAACTAAATCGAATTATAGATTGACTCGAATACATACGAAATCAAATTGTGGACCGTATATAACTTTAAGAGAAATAAAAAAAAATTACAACACTCTAGTTAGGTCTCTAATTATTGAACACTACGTTTGAGTGGGTTCATTGGATCCACTTTAGTTCTCTAATCTTCACAAGATCATGAACACAACACACAAACTTGCACTTATTATTTAAAACTAACTATGCTTGGTCGGTTGGTCCATTGTAAATTTTTTGGTATACATCATTGTAATTTTTAAATAAAATGCCATATTCATACATTATAAAATGAAAAGGAAAGTAACAAAACGAGGGGACCAGATGATAAATCACATGATGATCATACATATGACCATCTCTCTCTCTCTCAATTGCCAGGATGGGTCTTAATCTACCTCCATTATTTCCCCTTACTCATAGTCATAATATATGTCTTTCATTTACAATCTTACAACATCAATAAATAAAATAAATGGCTACGAAAAAGAGAGACAATAATTGATATAGCCGACGTTGTGAGGGCCAGAATATACGGGCACTAGACAATATATCTGATTTTTCGAAGAATACTATAAGTCTATTAACATTATAAAACGATATAGAGTTTCGAACATAAAATAGTAAATTGCTTATAAGACTTGTGTCGACATTGAAATGTTTTTTTCTACAATTATGTTTGGTACGTAAATAAAATTACGGTTAAATTTTATTGGTCTCCAAAGACAAAAAGAAAGCTACCATTTCTCAACCGTCCTTTATTCATGTGTTGTTATGGCAATTACGATATTGTTAAAATAAAGATTAGAGAGAGATTAGTGGTCATAGATCCATATGATTAGCACCAACATTAACCTATATCATTGGTTAGCAATAAAAACATTAACCTATATCACCTCCTAACCTATTGCTCCCCATTTCCTCTCTCTTTCCCAATATTATACAGTACAATCCACTAATCAACTTAATTAAGAAAGATATGTTCGCAATCAGAAGAAAAGATATTGAAATGTAATATGGTGCAAAACTGTCAACAAACTTCGATTACAAGCCCATTAACAGGCCCACATATCAACTAGTTCTCCAAATTTTGATGAAATTTATGAAAAAATGCTTTCTCCATTTATAATGAAAAGTATAAACAGAGTCGATGAACCATGAACAACGACACAAAATGCACATAAAACACTTAGTAGTACCATACAAAAAGATCATATGCTTTTACTTCAAAGGACACAAACAAAAAAAGACAACCCCACCCAGACTAATATTCCCAAAGCCGAACAAAGAAATTCAAGTTTTTGCATGATAATGCTCTTCTCTAATCTAACTTCCAGATGATATGAAACTTCCCGATTCAAGACCCAATACCAAAAAAAAAAGCATGAAAGTACCACTTTTCTTC